CCTGTGTGGCTGCGCCGGTGGCGGGCCAGGTCCTGCCTCTGGCTGAAGCTCTTGCCACACTGGGCACAGTGGTGGGGCCGTGGGCCACCATGGGTCAGCAGGTGGCGGGCAAGGCCAGCTCGCCGCACGAAACGCTTCCCGCACTGCGGGCAGGCGTAGGGCTTCTCGCCCGTGTGCACCCGCTGGTGGCTGACCAGCTGGGCGCTTTGGGTGAAGCTGCGCCCGCAGTCCTGGCAGGAGAAGGGCCGTTCGCCCGTGTGCACACGCCGGTGAGTCACCAGGTGCTCGCTGCGCCGGAAGGACTTGCCACAGTCGAGGCACCCGTAGGGCCTGAGCTCACGGTCTGGAGGGAGGCTGCCCGACCCTTCAGAGCACCGGTGGTCCTTGTCCCCTCCGTGCACCCGTAGGTGGCGCTTGAGGCTGGAGCGGTGCTGGAAGGTCTGGCCGCAGTGGGAGCACAGGACGACGGTCAGCTCCGGCCCTTCTGTCTTGTTCTCTGGGGAGCGCTCGGGTTTTGTGTCCTGGGCGTGCGCCAGCAGGTGCCGCACCAGACTGGCACGGCGCTGGAAGCCCTGGCCACACTCGGCGCACAGGAATGCGGGCTCTGACGAGTGCGTCAGCAGGTGCTTGCTCAGGTGGGAGCTCTGGCGGAAGCGGTGGCCACAGAGGTGGCAGGCATGCGGCCGCTCGTCCGTGTGTGTGCGCATGTGCAGCTTCAGGATGGAGCTGCGGCCGAAGCTCTTGCCGCAGCACAGGCATAGGAAGGAGCGCTGGCCGGGGTGCGAGCGCAGCTGGTGCGTCTTGAGGCCGTGCAGCTGCGCAAAGCTTATCCCGCACTCCGTGCATATGAACTGTGTGTCGGACTCCGACTTGGGGGCGTCCTCGGCCACTTTGACCTCCACAATTTCACTGTCGCCAGGAGGGGACCCTCCTCCACTGGTACCATTGGCCCTTGGTCCCTGCCCAAGCATCTGCGCAAGAGGCTCTTCCACCACTCCTGGACTATCGGTCGGCAACTCTGCTGAGATGGCAGGTGACCAGGCAGCTCCTTTGGGCTCTTCTTGTTTAAACTCTTCCTTGTCTGAGGTTCTGGTACTGAATCCTGGCAAAGAAGCAAAACAGAGGTGGTCAAGTGTATTCCTAGGGGATACCGGGAGTCACAGGGTCCGCTGGCCTGACGGGAAAGAAGCCCAGATCCTTCAGGGCTGCTGGGTTGGCAGAGGCAGGGGTAGATGAAGGAATTACTCTATCTCCATCACTTTTTTTGTTTTAGTAAAATACATCCTATAACTTACTATGATAACCACTCAGTGTGCAAGTTAGGTTAAAGACATCCCGGGAGGTGGCGACCACCCCAGCTCCCTGGAATGGAAGCCCTAGCCATTGGCGATGACTGCTCTGAGCAACTGCTCTCAAAGCTGACAACCAGCGGCCGCCAGGTGGTGTGGTCGTTAGGGCACGAGGCTCCCGTGCAGCAGACCACTGTTGAGTTCTCAAAGTGGCGGCTTGAAAATCATACCAGATGCATGTGTGTGTGCCCAAAATCCCGAGAGGAGAATGGAGAAGGGACTGTGGTGTGGCCATGCCCTTGGAGGGGGTTTCTCACTTCCCCTCTCTCTGTCTCTTGT